GAGGTGGCTGAGGGTGAACTGGGTAGGCATTGTATGCTTCCTGATGTTGGTCTAGTGGTGTTGAATCATTCCCAGCCCCTTGCCAGATAGGTGTAGGTGTAGGATGGGGAGTAGTGAGTAGTATAGGCTCACTTCCTACAGTTAAGCAGGTGTTTGAGTGGCAGGGGGTGAGGAACAGTAAAGGCCTGGTGTGGCAGCTGTCTGAGGCACTGGGGATACTGTAGCTATGGAAGCATGGCTGGGGCTGGTGGGAAGGGAGGATAACTCAGGGGCTAGCTGAGGGGAGAAAGAAAAATGAAGAAAAAAATGGTAGTGTGGTGGAGGCCAGACAGTGGGAGGGGCATAACCCGGTTCCAGTGGGAAGGAAGGGGGGGTGACATACAGGGCTAGGTGAGAGGGAAAAAGATAAGGAAGAAAGAGAGCAAATAAAATAAAATAAAAACTGGCTGTGTGGTGTGGGCTGGTGATGGGGGCAGGACAGACCTAAGGGCCAGTGGTAAGGGAGGGGAGGTGGCTCACGGGACTAGGTGGGAGAGGGAAAGAAAACAAAGAAAAAATGGTGGCACTGTGGGAGCTGGCAGTAAGGACAATACAGACTTGTGGTGCAGTAGGCTGGTGGCTCTCTAGCCACAGCAGTGCAGCATGGCCAGGCAGGAAGTGGGGAGATAGCATATGGGGCTATATAGGAGGGAAAAAGAAAAGAAATAAAGGGGAAAAATGGTATGGTGAGAGCCAGCAGGTGTGGACGGGATGGTCCTGGGGTGGTTGTAGTCTGGTGGCTCTCTAGCCAAGAGCTGAGGTGTGGCCCGTCAGAAAGGGTGTATGTGGTGTACAGGGCAAGGTGGGAGGGAGAAAGAAAAGGAAGAAAGGGGAAAAAATGGCACAGCAGGAGTTGGCATGTGGGGTAGGGGCGGGCCCGGGGTAGCGGCAGGTCAACGGCTCTCTAGCTGAGCAGCACGGCATGGCCCATCGGGAAGGGGTAGAGGTGGCATATGGTGCAGAAGGGTGAGGGACAGGAAAATGTGTTTCTCTGGTTACTGGGTGCTCTGCCTTCTGTTGGGAGCTCTTTGAAGTTGCTTTCCTGTACTCCCAGTCTGGGATCATTGATGGCTGTATTCCAAGATGATAATGCTGTGCTGTTAGTTGGCAGGCAATCTCCACTCCATATCTCTCCTCAGTTTCTGTTTTCCATCAGTTTCTTGTTTCATTTGGTGTTTGATCTAGTTCTTTATCCCTTCATTTGATGCTTAGAGTTCCAGGATTGATGTTTATATCTGTTTTAGTTAGTTTTTTGGGTCTTTGCTGCAAAGGGTCAGTATGGTGCATCTCTCTAGGGCCCCATGTTGGCTCCGCCCCCTGTTGTGAATAAGTTGACCTTTTTCTTACTTTCCCTTGGACTATGGTGGCAATTATGTTTAGTTGAGGGTTTTTGTTGTTGCAGTTTTTAAATTTCCCTTTACACAATGAAACTCTTTATTTGCCACCAACCCTTGAGAAAAATCTGATATGTCAGAATACCATTGCATGATAATATTGTGAGGCATAACTGGATGGAGAAATTAAAAAGCAAAAAATGTGGCTACCCCACGTACACCCCTCTGCTGAAACATATGCATGGCTTTGAGTAGTCTGTGTCCATTTGTTCTAGAAGACGGCTAGCAGCAAAGAAAGCATTTCTCTCTTGGTGGAGCTGGGAAGGTTCCTCACTTTTCCCAGAAGCAGACAATGCAGAGAAGCAGCTGCCAGAGGAATGAGAAACAAAACCTTCCTTCTCCTAAAACACTAGTGACATGAATGAACCTTGAAGAGTTTGTGGGAGAAATGCTGACATTTACCTTATATCAACAAATTAGGAGAGACAATCTTCTACCAAGGGTAAGGGAAAGATATATTGAGAGGTGGAGATTTGAGAGAAGTGGGAAATGTGTGTAGTAGATGGAAAGGAGGATGGGAGAGAGAGTTCACTGAAATAGTCAGTGTTAAAAGTCTAATTCAGGTGGTTTGGTGTCCATTTGTTGTCATATTTTCTCCAGCAGATCATCACAGATTAAGAAATGGGTAATAGTGGGGTATATCCAGCTTTGGTGTTTTGCCAGATATGTAAGATGGAATAACAGAAGGGTAAGTAAGCTAAGGGTATTGGAAAGAAAGAGAGAGAAGTGATGGGCCATAGAATTTCAATCTGAGGAGGAAAGAGGTAGAGAGAGTTATACTAAGTAGAAGAATCTATGAATTGGAGGTCTTAATGAGGACAAGGAATGGTAGATTGAGAGTAACTGATTAGACGTTAGGCTCAGAGAGTCTGATATATGAATGAATATTTTCAGAGCTGGAGCAATTCCAGATGACAAGCTCCAGGGTGTGTCTATGGGAATGAATGGCTGAAGTAGAGAAGTAGAGGAGGTCATTGGAAATGAATGTCAAGAAAATAAGTGTCCAGGTTGTCAAACATAGAAATAATGTCATCCTGGAAAACGGGTAGATATAGATGGAAAGAAAGACTGTGAAGGTGCCAAAGTCTTCAGTGGATCAAGGGCAGTGGTGAAGAGAAGTCAGTAGCTAACAGCAAACAGAAGACGTAGAATAGTATTGCTAAATGGAACAGTCCCTATGGGAGCGGTAGGGTGGAAGAGAAATGATCTGAAATTGACATTTTAGAACAGAGAAATAGTTTTTTATTCAGTAATAGAAACTACTGAGTTGGTGAGGCTGAGTTGATATTTTTAACTTTTTCTTTTAGAAAATTTTAAATAGAAACATGAGTTAATTAGCACTTTGTAAATGGGGTGTGGTTTGTTTTCTTGCTTATACTTCCTTTAAGTCTTACTCTCTGTCTTTTGAGTTTACCCTAATTTTAGGCTCTCCATTGTTGTGTTCTGTGCCTGGTAGAATGACTTGCTTGTTTTCACAGCCCTATCATATATTTAACATTATGACAGAGCATGTAATGTACCACACCCAGATCCTTGTGATTCATTACTCTTGGGAAAGGTTGAGAAACATTTGCTCACTCATTTACAGTTAAGTGATCTTATATTTTATTATTATAAACTCATGAAATGATGGCTATTATGTACACAAACCCTGAAACAGATAGTTCTGATGATAGGAAAGAGAGTTGAACCAAATCTTTGCCCTTGACAGCTTCACTTATTTATCTGTTTATTCAATATGTTTATTGAGTGCATCTTATATGTCATACACTGCATTAGTTGTTAGATACATAAAGGTGATTAATTCCTAATCTTTGTTCTTGAGAGGCCATGGTCTAGGAGCATAAACAGATAGTTATAGATCTTTGTTAAGTGCCGTTATACAATTTTATACAGGAAGATCAGAGGAGACTTCAGGAAGCTGAAAATAATTAACTTGCATCCTGAAATAAGAGGAGTTAGACAGATATGTATGGGAAAGGCATCTTTTTTGTACCTGTTTGGTTTAAAATACCTATTAGAGCTCCAAGTGAAGCTGTCAATCAGGCAATTAGGTGTATGTGTTTGGAATTTTGGGGAGTGATCAGAATGAACATATAATTTTGGAAATTATGGCATTAAATGGATGACTGAATGTTATCAGGAAAGTAAGTGTAGATAGAGATGAGAACAGGTCAAATAGCTGAGCATGAGAGCACTCTGTTTGAGTTCAGGGAAATGAGGAGGCAGCAAAGCCAGCTGAGAAGGCACGGCCAGTGAAATAAAGAAAAACTAGGACATTTGCTGCTGCCAGGTCAACTGATGACTCCTAAGAAATTATCACTAAAGAGAGGATCATTAGCGACCTTCATTAGAATAGTTTTAGTGGAGTGATGGGGTAAAAGCTTGATTAGAATGGGTTCAAGAGTGAACAGGAGGAAAGAATTAGACCCAGTAAGTATATAAAAATCCTTTGAAGAGTTCAAAGAGAAGGAGAAAGTGTGCAGTGGCCAAAGGCAGAAGTGGATTAAGAGAGGATTTTTGTTTTTTGAAGATCAGAGAATAACAGTATGTTTGTATGATTTTAGGCAATATCCAATAGACCGGAAAAAGACTGATGATGCAAATGAGGGAGCAACAATTGCTGGAAGAAATACTTACAGCAGGAGACATGGATAGTGTTATGGATTGAATTGTGTCCCCCAGAAATGTGTGTCAACTTGGCTAGGCCATGACTCCTAGTATTGTGTGATTGTCCACCATTTTGTCATTTGATGAGATTTTCCTACGTGTTATAAATCCTACCTCTATGATGTTAATGGCACAGATTAGAGGCAGTTATGTTAATGAGGCAGGGCTCAATCTACAAGATTAGATTGTATCTTGAGTCAATCTCTTTTGAGATATAAAAGAGAGAAGCAAGCAGAGAGATGTAGGGACCTCATACCACCAAGAAAGTAGTGCCGGGAGCAGAGTGTGTCCTTTGGACCAGGGGTCCCTGTGCTGAATAGCTCCTAGTCCAGGCGAAGATTGACGACAAGGACCTTCCTCCAGAGCCAACGGACAGAGAAAGCCTTCCCCTGGAGCCAACGCCCTGAATTAGGATCTCTAGCCTCCTAGACTGTGAGAGAATAAATTTCTCTCTGTTAAAGCCACCCACTTATGGTATTTCTGTTATAGCATCACTAGACTAAGACAGATGGGATCAGGGCACAAGTGGAGAGGCTACAGCCTATACAAGCAGCTCACACCCTGTCCTGGATCCAGCTGCAGGCTGCCAGTGTGCAGGCTCTGCACCTTATACCTGCCCATCTTGAAAATACACTAGACATTGTAGACCCTTCAGAGCGGAAGGCTTCATTTGGAAACACAGGCTCACTACCAAAATTTGAACTTTCCTCAACATACACAGTCCCATCTAAAGATGCTACCCATAATTGGCAGAAGTTTGAGGAAATCATTTGTTCTGGAAATAATCAATAGGTTTTTGGTTTGGAATGAAGAAATAAAGATAAAATCTAAATTGGCTTCAAATTGCATCATCCACACAAGAACTGCTTGGAGTTTTTTTTTTTTTTTCTTCTCGTCCACTGTGCAACCTACTTCAGTGTCTGCAGCCTATGGGCAAGGAGGCAGGCAATGGTTCGGGGCTCAGTTTGCTCTGGCATGGGGCACTCTGAGAGGCCCATAGGGACGGCCTGCCCTAAACCCAAAGCCACGCATACAACTCTTTTAATATTTTGCAGTTAGGCTGTGAGGAGTAGATACCTACGTCATTTCAGCTGCTAGATTAAAACTACTGACATCTCTCAAAGCAGCTAATTTTTCTGTTAAGTACCTGCTAGTGTCGTCAGAGAAAAATCCTTATTTTGGGAGCCTTTATGGAAACTTAAGGCTCCAGTCACATATTTGAAATGGTGAAAACTTTGTCCAGTAATATACCAACTAGAAGTAAAGACACTAGTTCTGTGTGCACTGATTGGGTGTCTGTGATCCTTGTCAACCTTGCTGGGTTTGCTGCTTTAGAGAAGGAAGACTCCCGATGGGTCATCATGCCCCTGCTCTATCTGCAGGAAGCATTGCTGTCAAAGAATCTGAGTTCCGGCACAGAGTAGGGGCGCAATAAACAGCTGCTAAATTAATGAATGAAAATTAGTTCTGTCTATTACCTGGAGCATTGCCAGCTCCATCAGGCCCTGGGTTCTTACTCTCCAAGATATGTTCTTAGTTAACATTTTGGGTTTTTTTTTTTTTTAATCTTTTCTATGTATAAGTTTGTTTCCATTTCAATACATAGCTAAAATTCTCTCATTATAAATAGAATAATTTATAACTTGCTTGAATTAATGATATTCATATTCCATTATAAATCTCTTTGTATCATAATTCTTAATAATTATATAACATTCAGTAATAGGAATATATGCACTAAAAAGTATTTAACCATTCCTTTATAGTTGGATATTTAAGTACATTCTAAATTTTCACTCAAATATATCATCTTTTTGCTTAAAATCTATTTTTTGTAGTGTGGATTACCTCCTTAGGCTAATTTTCCAGATAAAAATCTTTAAGAAAAAATGGAGACTGAAAGAGGTGACCAGTTTGATCATAATTTACTTCTATTTAAATGGAAACGAAACAGTTAAACTATAAAACCTTTAGTGAGACACCAGAATGACCGTTTTTAACAACCCCTGCTGCCCCTGAAGAACAACTGATAATGATACATGGGAAGTTATCATGGTCTAGAAAACATCTAAGGAGGCACAACTCGGGTTTGATAATTAACGCAGAGCCTCACTACATTTGTGTGTTTTCATATTGCATTTAAATTTATTTACACTTAACTGGTGAGGTGGATGTACTGCATTCTGAAGTGTGGGTATAATTATTCTTTTAATTCATTTTACTGTTTTATGTTTTAAAATTTTAAATTAACGGAATCAGTTGACATTATTAAAAAGAGGTATCTGAGTCCAAGAGACCTGAAAGCAGTGAGGCAAACAGACACATGTTGTAAAAAATGGCGTGGCGGGAGCATCTGACCTCCCCTGACTTCTTGAGGGGCATAGCAGGTTATGCTGAACCACAAAGGGTGAGAGGAGCGAATCACCATCAACATTAGCCCAACGCTGATTCCTATGAGGTGGAGGTCAGACGCACCTCCTCTCTCCAACCTTTGTTACCAATTCTGACACCAGCCATCCCTCCCACAGCACTCTCTTCTATGCTGGGTTTGATATTTCGTTGCAATGGCCACACAGAACTCACAGACCATACTCACAGTTATGGGGTTTATTAGGGAAGGAACAAGTTATAATTCAGGATCAGAAATGACTCAGGATACAGTTCTTTGATTAGGACAGCCTCTTCTCAGCCGTGCCTGCAGGCAGGCCTCTCTCTGGCCCTCAGCCTCTCGGCCTGTAGGCTCCTCAGCCAGGCCTCTGCCCTGCTTGGGCAAGTGTTACAAAGCTCTTTAGCTCTGCCAATAAGTGCCCCGGGGCACCCCACTTCACCAGTAAGCCTTGTCCCAAAGGCACTCAGCTCTCTTGATCTGTGGTCAGCACACCCACTATAACTGCCTTGTTCCATGGGCCAGGAAGCCCACTGCACCATCTCGCACTGGTCTTCTGGTTCTTCTGCTGCTATTTCTCTGCCACTGCTTCTCACTGTCTTGTGCCATCTCTGGTGTCACAGCTCTCTCTCACTGTCTCATGGGTCTAGGAGATTCTCAGCAGAGGGACCCTGGGATCAAAGGACGTGCTCCTTTTCTGGCTCTTCTTTCTTGGTGGTGATGAGATCCACCCCCTGTTAGCCTTTGGGATGGCTCGTTTTAAGCCTCGTGGGATGGCAAAACTGACTAATATAGTTTATTTGCATGGTCCCACCCCCACAAGAGTGGCATGCTCTTTCCTCATTTGCATTATTAGCAAGCTATGCAACCCTCTTGGTGGGCTACAAGCACTTCATTTGCATAGTCCCACTAGTCATTTGGTGGGAGTTACAAGACCATAGTGAGAAATGCCAAACAAAATTGATCCATCTCACCACACATTTACTCCAATGTTCATTGCAGCACTGTTCACAATAGCCAAAAGGTAGAAACAGCCTAAATGCCCATCAATGGATAAACGGATAAACAAAATAAGGTACATACATACAATGAAATACTGTTCAGCCATAAAGAGAAATGCTAAGTCCTGATGCATGCTACAACATGGATGAACCTTGAGAACATTATGCTGAGTGAAATAAGTCAATCACAAAAGGACAAATACATGAAATAACAATAGGCAAGAAACCAGCATTTATTAGTGGTGACCAGGAGCAGGAGGAGAAGGGAATAGGCAGCCACTGTTTGGGAAGCAGTGGGTTTATGATTATGGTGATAGGAAAGTTACCAGTGATAGATAATGGCTGCACACCATGATTAATATAATTAATTTCACTAAATTGTAAAATGTTGAAATTAGCAAATGTTGTTTATGTGTATATATTTATAACCATTAAAAATAATTATACCTAAAAAAACCAAAACAAAACATATCTGAGCCAACTAGACCCCACTGACACTTCTGGTGAAAATTCTGATGCTTGGAGTCAGCAGACCCTTTAAAACATGCTTCCTGCAGGGGTCTGCTTTTTATTTTGCAGTTTATTGTGGGGTGTGGTGGTGTGATGAGCTAAACACAAAATTTGCCAACAGATGCTTTAGGTTTAAGTTGGTCCTGATCATGAACAGATGTGTGACTTTAGGCTTGTCAGGCAAGCCTTACAATTCACTTAGCTATAAAAAGAAAGTGATACAACACCTACCTCACAGAGGGGACCTGGGGATTAAATGAGATATCACTGAAAAGCACCCCAGAGACAACCAAGTCCTACACACATGTAAATGGTTGCTGACATCACTTCTGTTCTCCACACTATCTGGGCACAAGATGGAATGTGGACTCACTGAGCAGGGTGGGTCATTTAGAAGAGAGCCAGAAACTCGTCTCACTAGCTCTGGGAACAGAAGGAGCAAGCAGAGCTGGCCAGTGTCTAAATTGTATGGATGGAATGCCCTTTGCTCTCATTTGGTTGAAGTTGTATCGGAAGTTTGGGTGGATACTCTAGTGGTTGGTGAGCACTCTGATTTGACGCTGTGCCTCTCAGAATATAGTAAGCAACTGAGGGTATACTATCCAAATCAAACGTTTGATGCAACATACTAATAATTGTTTTTGAAACTTTGACAATTTTCTGTCATGTACAACAACTCAGATTTTTGGAAGTCAGCAAAGCTCACTAATGTTGTTCCTGACAAGCTCAGGGTGGTTTCATATGTAAAGCTAACACTGCTTAAAAGTGATCTACCAAATTAGGGAAGAAAAAGAGAAACACTATATTTAGCTGTGCTAATTTTTGCTACCCTGTCCTATAGGGTCGGAATGAGTCCGAATTGATTCGATGGTAACAACAATTCTTGATAAAACAATCTATTTGGGTCCCCGTTGCCAAACCCCACCAACTCCACAACTGAAATCCTTGATCCCATTTCATTATTTTTAATCAACGTCATTGAGATTTAACGAACATAAAATAAAATGGTAACATTTAAAGTATTCAGTTTGATGAGTTCTGACAAATGCATACATTGTGGAACCACCACCCCACATTTTTCTTGCCCCTAAAAGTTCCCTTTTGCTCTTTTGCAGTCAGTATCCCCAGCCCTTTGCACTGTCCACTCCAGAAAGCCACTAACTTGATTTCTGTCACCATAAATTAGTTTTGCATGTGCTGTAACTTCATATAAATGAAACCATACAGTAAGCAGTCTTGTGTCTAGTTCCCTTCGAGCAGCATGCTTTTAAGATTCGTCCCTGTTGTTATATGTATCACTAGTTTGTTCTTTTTTTTTTAATACAAATTTATTTTCTCATAATTTAGCAGGCTATAAGTCCGAATTCAGGGTGCTGGCTCTATGGGAAAACTTTCTCTCTCTGTTGGCTCTGGGGGAAGGTCCTTGTCTCTTTCAGCTCCTGTTCCTTGGCTCCTTGGTGATCTTCATATGCCATGGCATCTATTTTCCTCCATCTTTGTTTGCTTGCTTGTTTAATCTCTTTTATATCTCAGAAGAGATTGATTTAAGACACACGCTACACTAATACTTATTAACGTACCAAAGAAAACCCATTCCCAAGTGGGATTATAACCACAGGAATAGGGGTTAGGATTTACAACACATATTTTTTTTTATTTTACTTTAGATGAAGGTTTACAGGACAAATAGTTTCTCATTAAACAGTCAGCACACATATTGTTTTATGACATTGGTTAACAACCCCACGACATGTCAACACTCTCCCTTCCCGACCTTGAGGAAGTTTTTTTGGTGAAAATATACATAGCCAAAGTTACACCATTTTGAAAGTTTCTACATGTACAATTCAGTGACATCGATTACATTCTTCCAGTTGTGCTGCTATTCTCACTATCGTTTTCCAAATTATTCCATCACCATTCTTCAACTCACTGCCCCCTAGGCTTCCCATCAAACCTTTTGAGCTGCTGTTGTCGATTTGATCTCACATAGATAATTCTTCTTTTTTTGTACCTTAGATGAAGTTTTGCAGAACAAATAGTTTCTCATTAAACAGTTAGTACACATATTGCCCTATGACAATGGTTAACAACCCCATGACATGTCAACACGGTCCCTTCTCAACTTTGGGT